CCGCACAATTCTCAGGGTGCCCAGAATAGCACATTGCTGCAGCCGCTGGATCACGGACGCGTGGAGCCCAAGGCTTAAGATGTGGCTGCGGCTCGTTCCTGACACACCACCCAGAGCACCAATGATAACTGGAACAATAGTTATCTTTTTGTTCCAGATCCTCCTCAGCTCTGCTGCCAAGGGCAGGTATTTGCTGATCTTCTCCTGCACCTTCTCATTGACCCTGTGGTCCAATGGGACACTGACGTCCAAGAGCAGTGCCCGATCATCCAGAACCAGCACCAGGTCTGGTCTGTTCGCTTTTATTACTCGATCTGTGGGAATGGAAATCTCCCACATCAGCTTGCAACTGGCAGAACTTGTGACCTGCACCAGCTGCTTACTGCTGGGTAATCCATGCTGCTTACACAGCGCACGATGCAGGGCCTGGACCACAAAGTTATGCCGGGCAATGTATGCAGTCCGTGCCAGGGCTGGACAGCAGGCGATGATGTGGTCCATATTTTCTCCGGGTGCACCACATACACGACAGAGGTCCACGACATCATGCCTCTTGTGGATATGGCGCATATTGTTTCTCGTGGCAATCACCTGATCCTGGCAAGCAATGAGAAAGCCTTCCGTTTCAGGACGCATTGTCTGGGATCTGAAACAGGAAAACGAGAGCTGTATGTCCAGGATGCCATCAACACGCGCCCAATAGCGACCATGAAGAGGCATCGCTCGAAGTTCACAGCGGCGGTTGTCATTGAGGGCCTGTTTAACAGTCTCTTTGTTAGCGGTGTCCAGGCTCGTCAGGCGAAGGCGCTGCAGGACAGTATTTGCCAGCTTTGGTATTGATTTTCTAGAGGGACGTGATTCATGGTGCTGGAGAACAGCGGCCAGGGCAGGGACATCTTCCCGATCCTTCAGGTACTGAGCGAGCCGGATGCAAGTACGGTCATGGAGATCTACGATGCATACTAGGCCACGACCTCCCTCACTCCGCGGTAGATATAGGCGACGGATTGATGCACGTGGGTGGTGGGCCCTGCTAGCAGTCAGAGCCTTCCTCACTGTCCTGTCCAGCGAGCGGAGCTCATCCGCAGTCCAAGGAACGACTGTGCCAAGGCCATAGGACACCACTGGCAGAACGTAGGTGTTGATTGCTCTGATGAGGTTTGGTGCACATAGTGAAGCATCCGTGATCAAGCGAAGACGGCGACGGAACTCAGCGATGGCAGATTGTTTAACTTCACCAGCCTCGATTCCCAGGAATTCCCGCAGGCCAAGGTAGAGGTACGCCGCGCCATCTTGCAGAGGATGAATGATCGACTCTGTTAGCAAGGTTGACGAAGGCTCTGCATCCTGGGTTGGCTTAGCGGCCGGGCAGACAATCTTCGAGCACTTAGTGGGAGATAGTTGCATGCCAACCGCCCCACCAACGCACTCCACAATGTTGATCAAGGAGTCCAGTCCAGTACTGCTAGCGGCAAATAGCTTGACGTCATCCATGTACCATAGATGCGACAACAGGGAATCACGCGTGGGTCCACAACGATATCCTATGCCGCTTCTTGCTAATTCGTTTGAGATTGGGTTGAGACCGATGCAGAACAGCAGTATTATTATTATTATTATTATTATTATTATTATTATTATACAGTACATCACAAGATGGCCCTCCTTGCAATCATGATCCACACTGCAGACCAATGCTGCTTACAATACAAGATGGCCCTGGCCACCGATCTGCATGCATGCTGAGACAGGAATCCCGGCTATGAAGCTGACGCGCTGTGTGTGAGGGGTCGTCCATTGGCAATGCCTTTGTAAGAGAGTCTATTTTTAGGCTTTAGGCCAGCCCCCACATGCAACTATTACTAAGTGCGTTACTTTGGAAGCCTCGGGCGACGTAATAATGCATTACCGTAATTCCGCGCATATAAGCCCATGGGCTTACATTGTATAATGTGAAATAATGCAGTTTGGGGATAAAATATCCAGTAAAACATGTTCGTTTTTTAGCCCATGGGCCAATATTCGAATTTTGAAGGTTCACGAAAAAGTGCAAGTCCGTGCTCATAGTGGGTCTACTGGTAGACTGTACTGAACTGCTGTACCATGGTAGGAACACACAAAGGCACACAATGAAAACCTTGGCAAACTTATTCCGTTGTGACTCAGAGTTTCATGGCTGAACCAATCATCAGACAACGATAATGGAATAGGAGGCAGCGCTGGTATATCTAAGTGGAGAGAGGTGTGATAATACGATAGCGAGAGGAGTAATCGCGTGAATGTATACAGGGACGGGCTATTTCAGAGGCAAATGCAGTAGGCGCAGGTCTAGCACTAACAAGTGCGCGCTTAATCTCGCTCACACACCACACACACACATACTAACACGCACACACATAGTAACACCCACACACACATACACATACACGCACACACTAACACACACATACACCAACCCACAACACCCTAACTTGCACACGGGCGCACGCACACACAGGACACCCACCCACCCACAACACCCTAACTCGCACACGCACAAACACACGCACACACGCATATACACACACCTAAAGACACATGTCCACACGTATACACACAGGCATCTGCGTTCGTATGACAAATCTAAGCGCACACAAACTTCTGCAATCACGCATCAAAAAACCCGCAGCGGTCATAGCTGTCTATGTAATAGGGGTGGCCAGCAGAAACTTGCGCTGGTGAGGGCATTTAGATACCAGCTCACTTCTCTTGTTTAGGGAGGTAGCTTTTGAAGCTCATGACAACGTGACGAAGCAGTACAAACTCGCCCCAGACACCGACTACACGGCGATTAATGCCGAAGCCCGCGATATAGCTGCCGATCTCCACCTGGATGACCGAATGGAATGTCTGGCCAAGGCACAAGCGTTCGTCACATTAAAGGATCATAAAGCCGACTTCCATGACAAGCTGCAATGCAGGCTGATTAACCCCGCCAAGTCCGAAATAGGCGTCGTAAGCAAATCCATACTGGATGGTGTTATCGGCCCCATGCGGAGCAGCGTATGTGAGAATCTGTGGCAGAACACGCAAGCGGTCATCGAGTGGTTCAAGGGCATTGAAGACAAGCCGCGGTACACCTTCGTCGTGTTCGACATCGTCGAGTTTTACCCCAGCATAACGAAAGACCTTCTGCTGGATGCCCTGTCGTACGCCGGGACGCACGTTCCAATGTCCAAGAAGGACATTGAGACGATACTGCACGCACGGAAGTCATTGTTGTTCGACGGCGGCAAAGCATGGATGAAGAAGGAGAAGGACGGGTCATTCGACGTAACAATGGGGTCGTACGACGGCGCAGAAGCCTGCGAGCTTCTCACCTACTTGCACATATACATGTCTATCGGCGCTATACTTGGTGTCCAACTCGCTATCTTCAGTCATAGCGAGCGTGGCCCACAACTCTACCTCTCGGCAAACATGCACAACGTATTCGTGAAAGGACTCCTCTGACCGCTGCTTGCCAGTAAGCAAAGTCTTCCACGCTTTGTCCGGCGTCTTTCCGAGCTAGGCAAGGAAATCTCGCTTTGCTTCCTCATAGGTATTGCAGCCAATACAGGTCCTTTCCACCATGCTACCAGATACAGTAGTCGATAGAGCGATACGCAATTGTTGTGGTGAGGTGTTGCTGAGTGGCTGGTGAACTGTAATGCTTGTGTCTGCACGCATCGTCTGGTATCGTCTGTTCGAAAGACGAAACAAGTTAACACAATGGATGCCCTGACCAAATGAACATGGCGTCAACGAAAACTAAAAGAAAATGTGCTGTCTTTGGATTTGTTAGATAATGCAACACCTTGAGGTATTAGTCGACCAGCGCCTCTTTTAAAATAACATTTTGCAGTAATGCCCAACTTGTTTCTCTGGTCTCTTTTGAGCTGTGCTAAAAAATCCGTTCGTGTGAATGAAAGTTAGCGCCGTGCGCCAGTCCACAATGATCGAACGTCCATGGCTACACAGCGCCCAGCCCGTCATTGACTTGCTCGATCGGATTTCTTTAATTATGCAGCACTACACATGTGCTGGTACATGGTGGATTGTCCGTAATAATTATTGTGAAAGCAGTTTCAAGATTTATTTAAATGAACATGGTGTCAACGAAAAAAGCTACACCATGAGGTGTTGCCAGTGCCTCTTCATAACATTGGGCAGCCTTTCTCTCTTTTCTCTTTTGAGCTGTGCTACGAAATCCGATCAGGTGAATCAAGTTTGCGCCGTGCAACAGTGCACATTGATCCGACGTCTATGGCTACACAGCGCCCAGGCGGTCATTGACTCTCTTGATCGGATTTCTTTAATACTGTACATTAGGAACGGCGGATTCTGCTCGAAAAGGTGGCAGATTCGGCTCGAAAAGCAGTGAAATTGGCAGAACCATACAAACCTTATGGCGGGCAACTCCTCGAATTCTGCTCCAATTTTTTTATCCTCATACCAAACATGCATGAAACTTACCAGAAAAAGTACCGAATTCTGCGAATCCGTCAGACTCTACTGTACATGTGATGGTACATGGTACATTGTCCGTAATAATATTTATTGTGCTGAATGTCTCAGTAGCCTGTCAGTTTACTACCCTATTATCGCAATTTCTGACTATTTATCATCTTGTTACAGTCGGGGATAGTTGCTCCATAACTCGTTCTCATGTGTTTCTTCTCTTTTTTTTACGAAAACAGTTTCAAGATACATGAAAGTGCTCAGCAACTACTAATGCTAGCTGTTCATTGCACGTGCACGCACAAATTATCACACACACACACGCAGCACATAACAAACATGTACTTCAAAGTACATGTAACATACAGGTTACGCAGTCAAGCATACATGTACATGTGCGAACACATATCTCTACACGCACACGCACACGCACACACGCACACACACACACACACACACACACGCACGTCAAACTACCAACAGTGGCAACACTGATTACGAATAACTAAAGAACGGTCATGAAATGCTGACAGTTATTATAACAATATTTGATGACACAAGATGAGGTGCAAACTTTATTACCGTTACACTGTTCGGATACAAAAATGACTTGGTTTAAGATTGTCAGAAAAACACACAAAGAGAATGCTTGACAATTTGCTGACAATCTAAAGTGATGCTGTTATAATTATGTGAGGGTGATGTGGATTGGTCAGTTACGAAAATGCAGCATTGTACCATGTTTACACAATGAGACCCTAGAATAGATGCACGCTAGATGTGGAGTCCGCCGATCACCATGCCGACCATCACTATTAGCAACGCGATGAGGCTTGGCACGACAGCGTTACTGCCCGATCCGCTACACTCGACCACACCGGCTGGAGAAGAGAAAGGCAGGGAACAAAGTAACAACACGTAGGGTCGGTTGTCACGGCAACAGTGAATGGTCGAACGTAATAGAGACCATTGGCATTAGCAAACCGTCTCGCGCAACGATTGGGACAAACTGGGAACGAGGCCGGCGCGCGGGGAAACTCGAATCGTTTCGTGAGCACGATTGGAGCAGCCCCAACGGGTGATCACGAAACGATTACGATTCCGGCTGCATCACGGATCGTGCATCACCCGGATCACGTGCCTAAATGGTTCGAGGCACAGCTTCGTGCCGTACATGCTTTGACGATTGGAAATCGGAGCTGTCCAATCGGTCGACCGTAAGCGAGACGGTTTGCTAATAGTCTCTAACATGTGATGGACAAGGAAGCCATTTCAAACATGGGCAAGCCAGTACCAGTTAAAGAATCTTTTGTAACGTTTGAACTCACAACAAATTGTTTGAATTTACAACGCCCTGGGGAGCACAATACCAAGGTATACAAAATGTCCTGGTAGGGAACCAGACCAAGTGTAGCATCTAGAAGAGATGGGAAACTGACTGATTTTTGTGGTGATCGTGCTGGTGGTGTTTTTGGGGCTTGTGGTCGGCTTTGTGAAGGTGATGGTGCGGGAGGTAGTGTTTGCGTTCAGTGGGGTTATCATCCTTCTAAATGGGTGGCTGTGGAACTCACTGTGGATTGTGCTCCTGCCTCCAAAACGGGAGAATCATTTCAGACTGTACTTACTGGCGTTGTTGTGCATGCATCCCATGCTATTCACACACCGAAGGATGTCCACTTCTACTGCGCCAGTAGCATTAGCACCCGTAGTAACGCAGCCGTCCACTATCCTGCAGACTCGACTGGCGTCGCCAGGACGACAAACACAACGCGGACGGCCAGTGGTCGGGAATACACAGTCGGAGGTGCCCGGTGGGATGCCGAAGTTTCGCGTGCACACATCAGCATCAGCACAAACGTCGTACCCTGTGAAAGCAACGCAGAGATGAATGAATCATAATGCCAGCTCGTGTTGGTTGCTGTTTTCATTTGTGTTTAAATCAGTAGCACTACAGCAGCCCAAGAAGAGTGCTCAACAAGACGAATGATGAGGAGCGTATCACCCAATATCAGCCTGACTACTGTACATTGTACACCATACAACAAAGGCACAAGGCCAGTTTGTTGCAACTCTGAGTGTCAGGCTATGCTATCATCAGGCAACGTCAGCATAACTATTCTACATTCTCTTACTCAATCGACATCAGTGAAGCTTTAGACCTTACAATACTTGGGGTGCTTGAACACGAAAAACATGGGCATCGATTATTTCAAACGGGGATAACAATCAACGCAATAAAGTGTTTGCACGGAACGCAGGAGCTCGCTTCCTGCCGACTGACTTGACACGTGACTGACTCACGACTGCGCCTGAAGCACACGAGCAACCCTTCTTCCAGGATTGCCGAGTGGAAGGTTCGACGGGCTTCTCGTGTGCTCCACACACAGTCATGAGTCAATCAGTCGGCAGGATGCGCGACCTGCGACGTTCGGAGCAGACACTTTCTTCACTAATCACCGCAGATGTTGCACCATCTTTTTGATAACAATCAATGCATCAAATAATGTCCTGAAGCGGTGGCAGTAGGCTTCGATTTTCGAATCCTTTCCGCGGGGAGGACCCCCATGGCCGCCACACCTCCAAAGGCGATGTGACGACCGTGAGGATGATAGACGCAATACAGGTAAGCTACAGCCACTTTCGGGAATCCACTGTACTTACAAACAGGTAGCGTAGCACTGCCAAGTCCTGGTCCTAATCTGCCCGTAACGCCAGCCCTGCAAATCACAGACACGGGGCGCAAAATCGTATCTCTGGCGACGTCGGCCGTGATGGGAGAGATAGTGAGCGTGGTGCCCATTGGTCCGGAGAACGACAAGGCCTCCATGGCATGCGCTGGGATGACGGTCCAATTGACCCGTGCTGTGAATGGGATGTCGCTGGAACAAGTGACATTGATGGTGGAGCCGTTGATGATGTTGTTCTGCGGTATCGTCATCCTAAGAACTACAGTACATAGAAGGACGGGAAAAGAAAATCGAAGAAAGCATTTGTGACACCAAACCCCTCATGCGTCACTGCATCGAGATGGAATCTCAATCTGTACCGTTAGACCGTGGAACTACATTGCAATCCAATGCTATAACATCGGTTCGTGAATTGTTTAGTCTAGAAACTCCACCGGAGTTACAGTGTATAGATTGTTTTCACATCCCGGAAGTGATCATGTCATGTGGACGGTGGAACCAACATGGTCGACGTCACATGACCCATAGATGCAGGAGTGGAGTGGAGTTGGAATCAACATGGCCGACATCACATGACCCATAGATGCAGGGGTGGAGTGGAGTTGGAACCAACATGGCCGTCCAGTATGGTCATGTGATAGACGTGAAAGCACACTTTATTGCGAAAACAAGATAAAAACACATACCAGTGATGAATGTAGGACTGCAGTCCCTGTCCGCATCCGCAGGTGTTGCTGCCCTCTCCCTACAGTCGCGCAACTCCCTGCAAGGAGCGCCCGCATCGCCAGGCGAACACGTACAGTCGAATGTTACCAAGCCACCAGAACTGTTGCTCGTGCAGTTCGTCGACCCCTGCGGATATTGAGTGGTGGTAGCGCAGTACGCCGGATCCTGACACACGTCATTATCTAAGTTGTTGACAAATGCACACAGAGTAGACAGTTGATATGGATAGGCAACAAAAACCAAATTGATATGGATAGGCAACTGGTGTAAAGCCTTGCTGTTTTCCGTTTGCTGACCCATACAGTTGTATCTTCTTCTATTTTTGGTGAGTGCTTTTGACCATGATGCTGAGACCTCTGGTGGACATAGCCATCAATGCCCCCACCATCACGGCTGCGTCTCGGTGCAGCCCCTGCTCAGCAGTTGTCACGTTTGTCCTAGTCTCAGTACCATTGTAGTTTCATCATTATTTTCGAGCTGGGTACGTGAACATAGTACACAATAAAATTAAAATAATTAAACTGCCCAAGAGTACAGTCGTGCAAGGTCAAATCGGACCTAGCCTTCGACGCCCTGGAAGTGGTAGGAATGCGGCTGGACGATTTGAACGTACACAGTCATATAGTCATGTACAAGGACAGTGATGTAATCGTAACTGGTCCAGGCACCACGGGTAGCACTTGGCGGATTATGCCGGCATAATATTCGGCATCATCTTGGGATTTCGTCAAAAAATTATGCTCCGGCATAATATACGGATTCCAACGTGTAAGGTCGGCATAATCTTTCGGATTAGCCAAAAATTATGCTTAGGGGCATAATACAGCTTTGTCAGAAAGCCTGCAGATGTTTTTTTTTAAATACCGCAGTTACCACTCCTTGTCATAGCCCTTGGCGGATTATGCCGGCATAATATTTGGCATAATCTTGGGATTTCGTCAAAAAATTATGCTCCGGCATAATAATTATACGGATTCCAACGTGTAAGGTCGGCATAATCTTTCGGTTTAGACAAAACATTATGCTTAGGGCATGGCCGTGTGTGTATGCGTGGTTTCTCAATCCTCTATGTACAGCGTGAATACATAGTGGAACCGAGCATAATTCAGCATAATTCAGCATATTTGTTTGCATATAAACTGTGGCATAATCAAAAGCATAATTTGACGATTGGCCGAGCATAGTCCGCCAAATGCTACCCAGGGGCCAGGGCGTCAGTTTTGCACTTTGGGTCGGATATGTATAATGTGTAGCGGACCGTACATGGAAAAGGTTGGCCAGCACTGAGAACATCTCTGAAAACCAATCAACTCGGGATCAAACTCTTAGTAGGAGAATGCAATTGTAGAACTACGAGTCATGATTTAGGTCTGGAACTGGAAGTGGAGAGCACTATCATAGCAGGGTTCTAGCCAGGTCAAAATAGTATGAGGAGGGGAGGGGGGACAGTTACCCCGTAACCCATTTTTCCATTTTCAAAATAAGTGTCTTGCAAAGTGAAATGCAGCATATGGGCCAAACATCTGCTTTCACCCCAGACAGATGTTTTCTTTGGTTTTTTTGTTTTTTGTTTTTTTTTATTGCGAACACAGCCCTACAAAGAGACATGTGAAGACAAACACAAAACAAGACACAGGGGATGTAGGGACGACGTGCCGATGTACAGGGAGCAACTCGACCGACCAGGGGTCTCGGCGTTAGCGTTGCAACCTGGCATCGCAAATGTGCTTTTATGAACTCGCTCTACCACTGACTATCGACTGCATTTTCATGCGAAATAAGTCATAAGTCATGAGTCAATATAAGAATTATTCTTATAATTGCCAGCGTTGGACAACTACGCGTAACGTGTTGTTGTGTTTGCAGCCAATCAGCACCGTTCTGAGCGGGGATGTATACATGTATGGAGCGATATACTCCGCTGGGGTCAAAGACATACCGCACTGCGACTTGGTTCAAAATATGTCCTGCTCGGTTCACACGCTCCATTTGGGACAGTACCATGGAAGAGTATTCGCACTCTCTGTACTTCGAAATAATGATTATTATACATACCGTGTCCCTGATATTTCCCTCGTGCTAACACACTTTTAGTCTGAAGAACATGTTGAACAATCTCTGTTTGGATGACAGCTACACTATAGCTCTCTGATTAGAGCATCGCTGGCCTCAAGCAAAGATCCTTGGCTCGAGTCCTGGCGTTCACAGTCTGTTTTTCTTCAGACTTTTCCGCTTTCCATTCAACCAGTGAGAAAAGAGGAACCGTAATGTTGTCTTCATATTTTAGGCATATGCGGATAATGCCGGCAGAAAATTGGCAGAATTCTGTACTTTTCTGGTAAGTTTCATGCATGTTTGTTATGTGGATAAAGAAATGGAGCAGAATTTGAGGAATTGCCCGCCGTAAGGTTTGTATAGTTCTGCCAATTTCACTGCTTTTCGAGCAGAATCTGCCACCTTTTCGAGCATTATCCGCCAATGCCTATCATATAGTCGCACACATGACGTGTGTGGGAGGTGTGTGATTGTAAGAAAGCATAGTTGCCTGTTTGTGAGGAGACTTTAAAAGTACAACAACAGCAGCAACGACGACGACGACGACGACGACAACAACAACAACCAAAACAATGTTTCTGAAGACAGCTAAGCACACAGAATACGCCTTAGTGATCTTACACAGGTCGATGCTGGAAGAATATACAGTGGGAAACGTCGCCGGTGGACTACCCACGTAGCAGTCCAGAAAGAAGGACGCCTCAAGTGTCTGAAAGCGAGTATAAAGGTTCTCGTTGATGTTCAAGACCATCGTCTCGTTATACTGGCCCCTAGGCTGGTAACTCAATGCAGAAGGTGCGCCTACTGGGAACGTGAACTGCCAGGTCACATCCTGGACACTAGGATTCCCGCTGCTGTCCTCGCATGTTAGCTCATGGGAACCTCCACCAACAATGACGAGTGGATCGGGAGTAACCTGCATATCTGCGCATACAGCAGAAAGTAAGAGAGAAAAGAGTTAGCGAAATAGAGGAAGATAGAAAGACAGACAGACAGACAGACAGGTGAAGGGATGAACGGATGGGCAGATGGACGGATGGGCAGACAGACAGAAAGACCAAAAGGCAAACGACCAGAGACACATAGAGATAGACAGACAGACAGACCGAGAGACAAACAGACAGACCGACAGACAGACAGACAGACAGACATGCAGACAGACAGACAGACAGATACGGTATGTATGCGTGCACATCAGTGTGTGTGTGTTTGTGTGTGTGTGTGTGTGTGTGTGTGTATGTATGTGTCTGAGTGTGTGTATGTGTGTGTGTATATGTGTGTGTGTGTGTGCGCGTGTGTGTGTGTATGTGTGTGTATGTACCGACATGGTTTTCACAGTACTTCAATTTACGGAAAAGTTGTATGGACATCGAAGCTAGGGATTCCTGGTATTTGTATTTGATTCAAATAATAGCTCCAGGAAATGATAAAACAGTTCGTTTGTCACTCGCCTGAACTATCCCTAAATACCATAAGTAACATCAGACCTTATCTTGCTAAAATTCAACTCAAGTCGTATGAGCCATTCTGCGAGTTATAATGGGAAGCGCAGTGTTTGAAATGCAAAACATTTATTTCCAAGTACGAATCGGGAGTAGTCGGTGCAGGACGCCGTCTCCTGTTCACTCAAAATGCAGCTGTTTTGTACGCTTGTGTCCCCGTCTACGGTATGAAAAGTTGAACTGATCCAACTCTTCCCGTCGCTTCCCGATCCGTACGGCAGTACGGTTGCGTTCCCATTCCTGGTATTCACATTGGACGCCGTAACACCATCCCATCGCTCCCTGTCGATCCTTACGTTGCGTCCCATCGCGTGCCGTCGAATGTGAACTATGCTTGATATCTACATGTGGGCTGTGCTCCATTAATAGTACGAGGCGATTCCAGACATTCAAGATATCGGGCTTCCTGTGGCTACGAATGCTGGTGGCCGGCTACTATTCTGCAGGTCATGTACAGACGTTGTGAAATGGCACGACGACTGCCAGTTTGCTGACGACTCTGCACTGGTTGCCACCTCCCATGAGGGTGCGCACCAGGATCTGGCTGCGTTTGTGCATGTTGTTGGCGCATTTGGCCTGAAGGTGAATCTCGCAAAGACCAAGGTCTTGCCGGTCGGCTACAGACTCACAGCACATGACCGTTGCCTTTGATGGTGGTGGGTGATATTGTTGAGAGCGTGGCTGACTTCAGGTATCTCGGCTCCACAGTACATACGGATGGTCGATCGACTCATGATATCAAGTCACGCATTGCGGCGTGGTGCTGTTTTCATGGATTGCAACTTATCAGTTGCCACTAAGCGCCAGGTGTACAAGGCGTGGTGTTGTGTCTCTCTTGCTCTACTACTCTGAGTGCTGGGTGCCGCTGAGCCAGGATGTAGCTACCCTCTCGACATTCCATAAAGGATGTATCCAATCGATCCTGGGCACCACTCAACTTGATATGAGGACATCCCGCTTGACTAACACCAAGGTTCTGGCAATCTCGAACTCCGCCAGACAAGATGATCTCCCGACCCGTCTCATGCGTCGCCGAATTGAGTGGCTTGGTCTTCTGTGCAGAATGGAGGAGGAGCGTACTCCGCGTCAGCTGTTGTTTGGCGCCCACTTGCCGACCTGTGCTACCTGTGGCCCTCGGAAGCGGTGGCGTGACGCCGTGGGAGCGGATGTTCGATGCCTCGACCTGGGCCATGAGGCATGATTTGACCAGGCACAGGAGCGCAGTGAATGACGAGGGGCGTACTCCAGCATTACTTCATCTGGACCATGCCCACAATCACGAACACCATGCGCTTTGTCGTTAGTTGTGGCACCTGTGATGTAATTAATGTGTTGTTATTGTCCGTGTAAGAGGCTCTTTCACATTCTTATCATTCAGCCACCTGTCCCAGCACACCACAACAACATGGACCAAGAGATCTTCTTTCCAGTTGTGAGTAATTAGGAGCCTGAACCCATCAGGTTTTATTTTTTGTTTTCCGGTGCCTACATGATCTTGCAAGTCCTCTTTTCTGCACCTACTTTCAGTTGATGGCTAACACAGGCCAAGCATCCCGGGATGATCGCCGAATTACTCGAGGACAGGAGCAGCGGCTACTGCAAGTGCCTTTCCTTCCTGGACCTTCCAGTCGTCAGTCATTGACATTTGTGGGAAGCACTCTTTGGAATGCCCTTCCCAGCGATATTCGCCTCCACAGTGCGGCGGTTGCCTTTAAACTGGCTCTGAACAGAATTAATTGTAATTTGTAACCACCTTGCTCGGCATCCCTACACATTACTGCATGTTTTCTCGGTGTTTTCTTCACTGCATGCTTACACATACACACACCCATTTGAATTATATACAAACTTTGTGCTTTGGAATTAGCATGATTGTTATGATTCTTTTTAATATTTCCTTCTCTCATAATATTATATTCGTTCTTAGCAGAAACCGGAGGTTTTTCCTCTGGTGAGAAGGCAGAATTGCCTGTGCTCTAAACGAATTCAAATAAAAGAAACAAACAAAATCTTCCTCAATGACGCTATACCTTCTCTTGTGCAAAGGGGGTAATACATGTACATGTAGGTGGATATTTTTGAACAAAAACAATGGTAAAAAGAATAATAAGAACCTGTCTAAGGCAACCATTTGCCAGATTTGTGAGATCCATTGAGCTTGTGAGCTTGTGAATGCCCCTAACCCCCCTCCCCCGCCTCACCACCACCACCACCACCACCACCACCACCACCACCACCATACAGTGAGTTTCTCAACACACATACAGCCGGTGGTAACTTAGAGGAGACACGAGAACTAAAACAAGCATCAGACAGAGTATTACCCGTGCATTAGAAAATTAAAAAGGGAACGAGGCGCTCGCATGCTAAACGTGCTACTAGTGGCGTTCCATTGTACTCACTACGACTCGAGCCTCATAATTCTTGTTCCGTTACAATCATGTACGTCATTGCTTGAGGTAGTGCACTCGTGGAAGAATGTTTTGGCAGCGACCTTTTGTGTTGCTAGCCTTTGCATGGGATGAGTACGAACATGACAACATCATGTACTAGTATAGTAGTAGTAGCAGTAGTACAATCATGTAGTCATGTTCGTACTCATCCCATGCAAAGACAAGCCAGAAAAAGGTCGCTGCCAAAAGGCCCAAAACATTCTTCCACGAGTGCACTACCTCAGGCAATGACGTACTTGATTGTAACGGAACAAGAATTATGAGGCTCGTAGTGAGTACAATGGAACGCCACTAGTAGCACGTTTAGCATGCGAGCGCCTCGTTCCCTTTTTAATTTTCTAATGCACAGGTAATAGTCTGTCTGATGCTTGTTTTAGTTCTCGTGTCTACTCTAAGTTACCACCGGCTGTATGTGTGTTGAGAAACTCACTGCATGGCGGTGGTGGTGGTGGTGGTGGTGGTGGTGGTGGTGGTGGTGAGGCGGGGGAGGGGGGTCAGGGGCATTCACAAGCTCACAAGCTCAATGGATCTCACAAATCTGGCAAATGGTTGCCTTAGACAGGTTCTTATTATTGTTTTTACCATTTTTTTGTTCAAAGATATCTACCTACATGTACATGTATTACCCCTTTTGCACAAGAGAAGGTATAGCGTCATTGAGGAAGATGGGTTCAGGCTCCTAAATACTCAATACTGGAAAGAAGATCTCTTGGTCCATGTTGTTGTGGTGTGCAGGGACAGGTGGTTTAATTATCAGAGTGTGAAAAGCCTCTTATACGGACAAATATCACAGTCGTCACAACTAACGAAAAAGCGCATGATGTTCGTGGTTGTGGGCGTGGTCCAGATGAAGTAACGCTGGAGTACGCCCATCGTCATTCACTGCGCTTCTGTGCCAGGTAGTAGTACTCTCTAGGCGCTTGATGCAAATAGAGCCCTCTAACCCAGATAAAAAATATGCCACGGTTTGCCAAACTTTAATAATACTTCAAACGCGTATATCTCAAAAATGATGTGAAACGTTCCATTTCTACCTTACCTTGTCCGCTCAGTGCTCACATGACATTGTATAGTGACTGAGTACTACATGATTGTACTACTGTAGTAGTTGGTGTACTCTATGCAGGGCCGGCTACTTCAATCGTTCATGTCACGCCATCACACTTTTCATCTTCACTGCACTGGCAGCTGGCCGCAGGCGCAGTCAGCTGGCCTGGGTAAATTGAATTATTATTATCAGTGTTACTATACAAGATGTTCACACACCCGAAGCGTGCCAGTCCAGGAGGAGATTCTCACGATATGTCAGAGCTAGAGAGACAGGTAGAGTGTGTTCGACCTACACGTACTGTATCTGCTAGTACTACTCAGACTGAAGTGTGTTGAGTGCAATATCTCCGCTATGATACTACTGACTACAAGACCAATAAGCCTGGAGCACTACACTCTGTCTAAAATTCTAATGCGATCGGTGCGGGGAGCTGAGGGGACCTAACACCTCCATGGAGCATGGCTTTCCCGAGATTGATGGCTATGCCAGGGCAGAGGTCGCCCTAGAATCTCATGGCTGAACAATTCACTGTACACTAGTGCTTTGTATTGTCTTGAAGTGACATATCCGGCTTTGAGACATCCCGACCAAAGTACTGTATAATGTAATGGAAAGATAACATGAGCCGACAAAACACAGATATACGAACCTACACACTTTTCTTATCGTCCTCAAACGACATTACGTACACACTGTGAAGGGTACTGATTCATGATAGTGCAACGGCATGCACTATTACTTTAGTGCACCCCAACCAGTAGATAATTATAATTATTATTATTATTTTGTGTCCAGACCTGTACGTCCTAGTCAGAGGAAGTGTGAGTTTCAAAGTCTAAAGAAAATGTTGAACGGTATCCTAAGGATGACAATAGCTGACATAGAGAAGGTCGTCCTTTGGTCAAACTGGCAAAGACCTCTTAATTAAAAGAGCTACTTTTCCTTTCGACAGGCCATCAAAATGTAGGTTTGGGGGAAGGACAAGAGGAAAGCCATGATACTGCTGTTACGGAATCACAGCCATTCCGTTCCCCGGGACGCAGGACACAAAGGACAAGACTAGTTTGGTTTACATAATTATTATTGACATTACGGAAATGGAGACAACACTCAAAGGGACGAACAAGAAGACTGACAAAAGGACTCTCGACTACAAAATCGCGCATGCTCATATCACACATGCACGCGACTAGACGAGACAGTTTGGGGAATGCCATCACACAGGAAAACAACACATCATTTTACAACACCTGCCCCCTTGATGACATTCCACAAAATAATAAACCGACACCACGTTCCACATGCACAAACAGCAAAAGGAACCACAGCAAAACAGAAAAACCAAAACCAACCAAAAGCTTACATTGTAGCACAACAAAACTGGGCCACGACACAGGGCAAAACAAAGACACAAGAGCCGACGCTCTCAACCAAGCCGCGCCACAGGGCCAAACCAAAAAACACAAGAGCCGACGCTCTAAGCTCAGGCACACAAGGCCAACCGAAACACGAGAGCCAAAGCTCCAACAAATAACAACATGCGCGCAGCAAAATAAATCTACAACGCAAATTAATGCAGAACAGAACGACGAGAAGAGCAACATACCGACAACCAAACTCAACAACACAGCAACCAACTGATCAGCGAGAGAAACACGATCAGACAACACAGCGAGCAAAACAACAACAAGACGAACAACAAAGGACGACACACAGTCGGTGATGCCAGACTCATCCACTGGCCTCTGGCGAGCCACGGCCACACGCTCCATGCGGTACCTGCCGTCCAAGGCTCCAGTCCCCAGCTTCTGCCGGTCCACCACCTTCTCTGCCTCCTCTCCGCGTCTTCTTCCGCTTCCACCAGCTCCTTGTCTCTCCTCCATCCCCACGCTTACTCTCTAGTTGTACTATTACTTGTATTAGTTGTTGACGACGACGAACAGACTCATGACAAACTTACTCATCCTCTGCGTCCCGGGTTTCGGCACCACGTTGTAACGGAATCACAGCCATTCCGTTCCCCGGGACGCAGGACACAAAGGACAAGACTGGTTTGTTACATTATTTATATTGACATTACGGAAATGGAGACAACACTCAAAGGGACGAACAAGAAGACTGACAAAAGGACTCTCGACTACAAAATCGCGCATGCTCATATCACACATGCACGCGACTAGACGAGACAGTTTGGGGAATGCCATCACACAGGAAAACAACACATCATTTTACAACACTGCAAAGTCATGTTCGATTGGAAGCTACACTTCCTGCAGATTACGTTACTAGCATCCACTTATCCGACTGGTGCCGTGGTGGTGTACCATACCGGCATACATTGTACGTGTACATGGATCATGCGTTTCAATATCCATCAACACTTGAACGTACACCGTACCTTGAGCTTGGGCGTTAACAGCGAACATAACCAGCACCAGCAGGAACGTTCCAGAACTCTCCATTCTTGACCAAGGACACTGATCCAACAGCAGCAGCAGCAGCGGAAATCACGTACCTGCACACGCGTGCACGAATCTCGAAAAACTCAGTGCAGTTTTCTATGTGGACCGGTCGAGAATAACGACCAGCGCTCTGCGTATTGAAGTAACTTAGTTAGTTGTGCTTTAGTGCGCTCAAAAAAGAGGGAGATAATTATACTGTCTTATTATTTCAAAGACTAGCGAGTGGAAAAAATCAAAGTACCAAAATCTCCCAGTCGATTCGCCTATCCAGAAACGAAGTGTGAACTTTACAAATGCGAGGAAGAGAGTACTAGTACCAGTAGTCCCAGCCAACGCCTTTATACTTCGGTGAGGACGCTGAACGACAGTAGCCCTCTGTGAAGGAGGTAATCGTTCATTGTCACATCTTACACTCTCGGAAGGACCGACTCTCGCCCCGCGCGGGCGCATACAATACGTGTACATACTGGTAATCATTGATGCCGGTATGTGCGTCGAACTCGAAACCCTACTGCGTGTCGACATTACATCTTTCAGTAAATCAGATGGCCCTCGTTACAATCATGAAACACTGCAGGCCATATACATGTATATTACTGGTTACAATACAAGATGGCCCTCGCCACCGTAATAATCTGCATGCTGAGACAGGAATCCTGACTATGAAGCTGACGCGCCGTGTGTGAGGGGTGGGCCATGCCAAAGTCTGTGTTACTTTACAAGTCTCGACGTAATAATCTAATATCCACCTGTGAGAGTTGTGGGTACTTGAGTCTCATTAACCCTTTCACTGCCAGCTGACTGCTCAAGTGACAAGGCACTCAGTGCCAGGCTGTCAGCTGGGCTGTGCACTCCCCAGTGCCAGGCGCTTTTTACCTCCAGTTCAAAAAATCGAAAGGCCAACTTTTCCTGGATTTTTTGGTACTTTCTGTACGGAATATCGCTTTCTAAAGTATACATCGTAGGTAGCCAACTGATAAAGGAAGCCATTGCCCTCGAAAAAAATCGCAAAATCCGATGTACAAGCGCGCTGAGCGTTCTAGCGCCAGCCGCTGTGCAACAAGTCATGTCATGTCATGCGAAAGTGCGCCGCGTGCCGCATGCACTACATACACTGCATGTACACCATGTGTACGGCCCGGCCAGTTGCGAAGTAAAGTTCAGGGCTCACGGTTGGGATGCCAAAACTCGATTACGTGGGAGGACATCTTGAAATCTGGTCACCATAGAAATGAGCTCGCGTGACTCGAGCTGTGCACGCCTACGCGGCGCGGAGCACAGCAAGGACACAGCAAGGAGAGAGTTGCAGTGACCTGGTGACTGACAAGAAGTAGTAGAACTGAGGAAGACGGAGACCGGCTGGGGACTTGCGTTTCACTTTGGTGGCCGTTCACTGTCGTTGTTATTGCTTCTTTCCGAGCGAGTGTGTTGCGAGCAGTGCTGGCCTCGTAAGCCGAAGGCTTCAGACAGTTCGTTCGCACGCTGAGTCCTGCGATGAGAAGTCGCGAGTTCTGCCGCCGAGTTTTTTTAGTGAGAAAGGGATCGACGTCTATGTCGTCCGCTGATGCACTGGCGCAGGTGAGAGAGGTAGAGGACAAGAGCTCCTTGATGGAATGAAGCAAAGACTCACACCGTGTTCTAGTTCGTTATCTCTGTTCTCAGAGCGTTTTGTAAATGCACTTACACGAGTGAAAGAGCCGTGCCACGCTGCTGTGAGAAGTGACGATGGAGAGTTGTGAATTATTTGATTTGCCACTCTGTTTCGTTGCAAGAGGACGAATCAAATGGCTTCGCCGTTGTACTGGTCATGTATTTTCGGTTCGCCATAGCTGCTGAAGCACACAGCAGTAGAGCGCCGATGAGCGAGACAGCAAACGGTGAATAATATTTCAAGAGTTTGTCAGTCACGGAGGAAACATTGCAAAAAACGCCTTGCTGCTGGCCTCGCTGGTGTAGTTTCCGCATCGTACAACGCATATGCACAGGCTTCCTTCCTTGTCGTCGCGCACGGGAGTTCGCGTGCGCCCCTGCCGACTTAGCTCACTTCAAAACAGTATAAGGTAGCACAATATTGGCCGATTTTGACAATCGATGGCTCAAAATCCTCAGTAGATACTAAGCTACAGTTTAACCGAAGCGATTTTGTTCTAGATGAATGGATCGCTGTAGAGCATTCACGGACTTTGTGACCATATCTTTAGTTTCCCAGGGCCAAAATCAAAAATTCCTTCGGTTGAACCCCTAGTTCACATCTTGCCTGGTTCCACCCAAATTTTCAGTGTCGTACTGTCTACCTGTGCTACCTTATTCTATTTTGAAGAGGCATGTGTCGCACTGAAAATTCGCTGCGAGATGGCTAGAGTTTGTGTACAAGGGGTGGTCGAGCTGTGGTCGCGTGACAGTCGACCTGTCGTCGCGTGAGCTGGCCAGAAACAAAATGGCGCCCACGTATTTGTACACAACCGTGAGCCCTGAAGTTAGTTGTTGTTTTGGAGAGACAAGGAAATCCTGTTTTTCGTTCGGTGGCGTTGAAAGATCTGCCAGTGGACCGGCGAGCTACAACACTTGAAGCAGAAGAAAGTGCTTGCTGAAACTTCCCTGTCTTCGTGGCAACAGGACTTCAGTTTGCGAGAGACTTTCGTCCTGTCGCTGCGGACGCAATTCTTGTTGCTTGCAGAAAACTTGGGGAACGGTCGCGACTCGTTTCGTGAGGCGGATCGTGTCGCTGAACAGCCGCGGATTGTTCTGCCGACATGGTGGTCCTTTGTTCTCCTAATTATCAGCAGTCCAAGCACATCTCTTCAACGTCGGAGAATGAAGCGCTTCCCTGTTCCGTTGACAAGCGCTTCGCTCGCGGGTGTAATGCACTTCCGCATCAGCTTGCAGTAGATCGCCAGGTATTGAGGTAGGTGTCGTTGCGGAAAGAATAATATTATTATACTTGTAGCTGACATACCTGTAGTGTCCCTTGACCGTGCTGGTCGCCATTGCAACGTTTTAGGTCTCAGGAAAATTGAGTTCTGGACGCGGCGAGCGCCGCCAGCGCTGTTTCCGTCGATTTTGTACATAGCTGCATCCAAAATGCGTTATAGTGAGGAATCCGTCGTTTGGTTCCCTACCCGTGACTCCAACCGCCTGTCGCAATGGATAGCCGCCTGGAGTCTTGGGTAATAGCTAGGCATCAAGTCTGAACCAAATTCCATGCTCTATGCAAAGAAAGTTGACGGGAAAGAGAAAAATACTCGCACCGACTCAGCTCGGTGGAAGTGCGTGGGAACCGATTTTTTCAGTGCCGCTCGGCTAAAAATTGGATACACATTTTCAACGACGCTGGCTCGATTTTTTTCAAATGGCAACCCCTACTCCTGGCAGCGTATTTCAATGGATATTGTAGTGGATCTGGGTCCATATTTGTGTTATAGTGTTTGACCTTTGTCTATGCATTATTCTACCCCATTGCCATTTATGTCTGACTGGTGACATCATGCATACTACGCACGTGCACCGTACGACCTTGCGGCATTCACACTGTATGCTGATGGCAACTCATGCTACTTTATCTATAGGTTTTATTCTAGTAATTAGTTAGTTGAAAACAGGACGAAGTTGAGTGTTGTGTGTTTTAGATGACTGCGAAAGTCATTACATGGTGTCAGAAGTAGTGTAGTTACAGTAGGATTCGAGGCCATGGCTCGCTTCCAGCCACCTGCGGCTTTCGATTTTAGCTCCCCGGACCGATGGCCCGCGTGGAAGCTCAGGTTCTCACGTTTCCGCATGGCTGCGAAATTGTCGTCAGAGAGCGAAGAAATCCAGGTCTCCACTTTACTGTATAGTCTCGGACCCGACGCCGACCCTGTGTTTGAATACCAGCTGGGCTTGTCCGACGCCGACAAAAAGAAATATGCTGAGGTTGTCGAAGCATTTGACACATACTTCCGTCCTGCAACGAATGTCGTCCACGAGCGGGCGCAATTCGAACAACTCATCCAACGACCAGGACAAACTCTAGAGGAATTTGTTCGCGATCTATACAAGGGAGCCGAATTTTGTGACTTTGGCGGAGAGAAGGACAACCGGATCAGGGACCGTCTTGTGGCGCACATGTGCAACAAACGCGTCAGCCGTGAGATCCAGATGAAGGAGGCGTCCGAACAGACCCTTGCCAAGGCACTCGCGTATGCCCGGCAAGCGGAGAAAGTTGAGGCCCAGGTTGCAGCTCAGGGTCGCTCTGCAGTTGCTTCGTCCGTATCGGAGCCAGTCTCCTCATCAGCCGTCTCTCACCGCCCTGGGAACTCGGGACGCAAGCAACCCACGCAGCAGCAGCCCAACAGTGGCGCCCGTGGGGAGTGCTCGAACTGTGGCCGCGCTCATGCTCAGGGTAAGTGCCCAGCTCGCGGCAAGTCGTGTAATGCGTGCGGCAAGCGAAATCACTTCGCACAAGTGTGTCGGTCCAAACCCCAGGTATCCGATGTCTCCGAGTCTGCACCAGTGCGTGACAGTGACAGTGAAACTGTATTCATCGGTTCTGCTGAGTCAAGTGGGCCTACTTCACCGTGGTTTGCTGATGTGCGAGTTGGAAACCGCCCTGTTCTATTCAAGCTGGACACAGGCGCGGATGTTACAACGATGTCATTGAAGGCATTCAAACGACTGTCGCCAACACCTAGCCTTTCTGCCTCCACCATTCAGCTACGTGGCCCTGATGATCACCTCTTACCTGTTCATGGCGTTTTCACAGCACACTGCTCACATCGCCACAGATCCACAGACATTCCTGTGTATGTCCTGGAAGGAGCTACCACTTGCCTCCTAAGTCGCTCAGCATGCTCTGATCTGGGTTTGATCCAGCGCCTGGGATCTGTGCACAGCAAACCCGAGTTGGTACAGTGTATGAAGGGCCCTGCTGTAAACATCCAGCTCACATCTGAAGCCACACCTTACCACTGCATGACTGCCCGAAGAGTGCCTCACCACCTCTACTCCAAGGTGCGCGACGAACTGGCACGCATGGAAGAAGGCGACATAATTGCAAAGGTGGATGAGCCAACTGATTGGTGTTCACCAATAGTTCCAGTGTTAAAGCCCAATGGGAAAGTGCGCATCTGCGTGGATTTGAAGCGCCTCAACGCATGCGTGAAAAGAGAAACTTTCCAGCTGCCAACACTGGATGACGCGCTTGCCTCGCTGGCTGATGCCACCGTGTTCTCAACACTAGACGCAGCCAATGGGTTTTGGCAACTGCCGCTCGCGCCAGACGCTGCGCACTTGACGACATTCATCACACCGTTTGGCCGGTATTACTTCAAGCGACTGCCATTCGGTATTACTTCGGCACCAGAGATTTTTCAGAAGCGCATCACCAACCTCCTGGATCAGCTCCCTGGTGTCACCGTGTATATGGATGACATCATCGTCTCCGGACGCACCGTTGAGGAGCATGATCGAAACCTGGAAGCTGTTTTCGACATCCTCAAGAAAGCCAACGTGACCGTCAATGAGTCCAAGTGTCACTTTAGAAAGAGTGAAGTGAAGTTTCTGGGCCACATCGTCTCCAAGGACGGTCTGCGGCCGGATCCACAGAGAGTGTCTGCTGTTACCGACCTCAAGCCACCCAAGAATGTCACGGAGCTGCGACGGCTTCTTGGCATGTTCAACTTTATGTCACGGTTCATCCCGAATCTGTCAGAAGTCAGTGCTCCACTTCGTCTTCTGCTGGCGAACGATGCAGTCTGGGAATGGTCTGCAACGCAACAAGCAGCCCTGGATCGGCTGAAACAGCTCGCTACCGACACCCCCTGCCTGTCATTCTTCGATGCGAGACGGCCGACAGTCATCAGTGCAGATGCAAGTAGCTATGGTCTCGGCGCTGTTTTGCTGCAGAACCACGACGGCAGTCTCCGTCCAGTTGCGTACGCGTCCCGCTCATTGACATCGACTGAGCAGCAGTATGCGCAAATTGAAAAGGAGTGCCTCGCCGTGGTTTGGGCCTGTGAACGGTTCCATGGCTTTGTGTACGGCGACCCATCATTGACGGTCCACACTGACCACAAGCCATTGATACCTCTGATCAACACGCGCGACTTGAACCGTGTACCACTGCGCTGCCAGCGACTGCTCATGCGTCTTATGAAGTACAACCCTGCAGCTGTGTATATTCCCGGAAAGCAGCTTGTTGTAGCGGACGCCCTATCACGCGCTCCGGACGCGTCGGTCGACTCGCCGACGTCTCAGCTGGCGGAAGAGATCTCTCTTCACATATCAACGATCACCAGTGAAATCGTCTCAGCACGCAAAGCGGAAGAGCTTGCGGCCAACACTGCAGCAGACACCGTCTTGCAGCAAGTCCTGCAGTACACGAAGTCTGGGTGGCCCGACTCAGCCCATCTTGTAGAGGATGCAGTCCGCCCGTTCTTTCACGAGCGTGCCCTACTGTCATGCAGCAATGGCATCCTGTATCATGGCACCAGGATCGTCATTCCACCCAAGCAGCGTGCCTCTGTCCTTGCCACTCTACACGAAGGCCACCAGGGTGCCACGAAGTGTAAGGCATTAGCGCGAAACTCAGTGTGGTGGCCAGGCCTTGCCAAAGAAGTAGACGCACTGGTTGCAGCATGCCCCGTCTGCTGTAAACACCGCCTCCAGCACAGCGAGCCACTTCAGCCGGTTCCGCGCCCTCAGCTCCCATGGCACACCATTGGCTGTGATCTGATGGAGCATGATAGTAAAGTGTACCTCGTGGTAGTTGACTACTTCTCGCGATTTCTCGACGTCATCCCGCTGCGTTCCACGACGTCTGCCAGCATTGTCTCCAAGCTGCATGGTCTCTTCGCCACCCATGGCATCCCAGCATGCCTAGTAAGTGACAATGGTCCCCAGTTTGCAAGTGCGGACTTCCGTAGCTTTGCCCACTTGTACGACTTCAGTCACCGAACCTCCAGTCCTCGCTACCCCCAATCGAACGGCGAAGCAGAACGAGCTGTCCGAACTGCTAAGGAGCTTCTCAAGAAGAACCCGAGTCTGCCTGATGCTCTCCTAGCGTATCGCAACACGCCGCTAGCCAACGGCTTTGCGCCAGCTCAGCTCTTGTATGGTCGACGTATCCGCACGACCGTCATGACGTCTGCAGAGCAGCTTCACCCAGAATGGCCCGACATCACCGCTCTCCTGACCACTGAGTACACCCTGCAGGAGAAGCAGAAAGAGGTTTACGACAGCCGCCATGCTGCCCGACCTCTGCCGCCATTAGAGCCTGGTGACAAGGTGTGGATCCCAGACTTGAAGAAGGAAGGGAAAGTAGTGGAACGCCTGTCAAACCGTTCGTACAATGTGGAGACAAACACCGGCACTGTTCGTCGCAACCGCCGACACGTCATCAAGCAACCCTTGGACGACACCGCAGCTGTTGTTGATGTTGAGCCGAACACCGCTGACCAGCCAGCAGCGCCACGTCGTTCGGAACGGGCCACTCGAGGTGTCCCAGCAAACCGTTTGCTGGAACAGATGTGAACTGTGTATGCTAGTTGGATTCTGATCCATGATTGTGATCTCCATACTCGCCTTTACTTGTTCGCTTCTTTACGTACTGTACTTAAATTCTGTACTTATTGCTTCTTGCGATTACTTTCACTCGGTTTAGTCTAATAGAGGATTCTTTATCTCAGAGGGGAGATGTAGTGGATCTGGGTCCATATTTGTGTTATAGTGTTTGACCTTTGTCTATGCATTATTCTACCCCATTGCCATTTATGTCTGACTGGTGACATCATGCATACTACGCACGTGCACCGTACGACCTTGCGGCATTCACACTGTATGCTGATGGCAACTCATGCTACTTTATCTATAGGTTTTATTCTAGTAATTAGTTAGTTGAAAACAGGACGAAGTTGAGTGTTGTGTGTTTTAGATGACTGCGAAAGTCATTACAGATATGGACCCCTTCCAGGGCCCAGTAACCCTCTATGGCAGCTAAACATCTCCAATACCCCAAAATAGTGGCCCAAACTGGGCGAAGTCGGCCTGTCGACTGCAGTCGACAGCGGCACTGGGAACTGCGTTCTTGCTGGTCGACTGCAGTCGACAGCGGCACTCAGAGTGCATGAATGGGCTGTCGACTGGAGTCGACAGCGGCAGTGAAAGGGTTAAAATGTTGCTGTTGACGTGCGCTATCTGGCATGACCGTGAGCGTAGCCGGAGTCAATGTCTTACTGGTTTAGTAGTCTAGATACAGTGCAACGAGTGTTAGTTTCCAAGATCTTTACAAGACTGGCGAACACTAAATGTCATGAAGAAAGTGAAGAGAAAGGAGGTTTATATAGGAAAGAGATTGTGATAGAAGACTGTGCAATGAAGTTTGTTGTTTTGTTAGATATCTGACGTGTGCTGTTTGGAAGAAGTGTTTGGATGCAAACAGAACTTACAAGAGATGAGTAAAGACTACTTTTCTACAATAGCGTTGTAGGCGAGGAGTGCGTAACATCAAAAGATGTCGTAATGTGTATTGGAACTATGCTAGCCAAACATTACGTAATTATTATGGTAGAGAAGTACGTGTAGTAGTAGGTATTACAATGTGTGCGAGAGTATGGTGAATCAGTGTTTGTGATGATGAGGAAAATATGACGTGTACATGCAAACAAATGATGATGTCATGATGCGAGAACGTCAGAGACGCTACAGAGCTCCCCTCCTAGTGAATGAGTAATGAGCGATAACTAGCGCGATAAAGTGAGAGCAAGCAAATGGGATAAGCGAGAGAGTGTCAGAAATAGGCGGGAAATCTGACTTGACGACCAGCTCGTGTTTGGCGTGGCGGAGGCACGTCGAATGCGAGCGATGGCGTCGGCTTGGTCGGATGGCAATGGTCGACAGACTGGTTGTCATGGAATGCGGGTTTGAGTCGGTCGATGGATACTGTGTCGGAGCGGCCGTTGAGGTCGAGGCGGAAGTACTTATCATGACGTTCCAGGACTCGGTGTGGACCAGTATAAGGACGTTGGAGGGGCGTTCGTGTTGCATCTGTGCGAATGAAGACATGAGAGCATGTCGAGAGGTCAGCTGGAATGAACGGATGCTGGGTGGGTGGCTTGCGGGGTTGTGTAGGGCGGAGCTCGGACATGGCTTGTTTGAGGCGGCTGACATAGGACGTCGGATCCGGAAATGGCTCAGGCTCGTCAGTGAGGAAATCACTTGGCAGGCGGAGGTGGCAACCGTAGACCATTTCTGCAACTGAGCAGTTGAGGTCAGCCTTCAGGGAGGAGCGAATGCCGAGCAGGACTAGTGGCAGATGTTCCGTCCAGCGCTGTGGATTGTCGGAAGCTCGGAGTGCAGCTTTCAGTTGTCTGTGAAAGCGCTCTACCATGCCGTTGGCAGCCGGGTGGTAAGCCGTTGTGCGAATGCGAGATGTGCCAAGTAGTGACATGAGCGATGACCACAGGGATGACTCAAATTGGGCACCTCGGTCGGTTGTGAGCACAGTGGGAACACCAAATCGGGCGACCCAGGTGGCAACAAACTGGCGAGCGACGGTTTCGGCTGTAATGTCGGGAATAGGTACTGCTTCGGGCCAGCGAGTAAAGCGATCTACCATCGTCAAGAGGTAGCGAGACTCACTAGAAGATGGAAGCGGGCCTACGATGTCGACATGGACATGGGAGAAACGGGCATCAGGTTGCTTGAATGCACTCACGGGAGATGTGGTGTGGCGCTGAACTTTAGACTGCTGACAAGCGTGGCAGGAACGACACCACTCACTAATATCCTTGTTCATCGCGGGCCAGACGTAGCGAGCTGTAATCAGGTGCCTGGTAGCGCGGGTACCAGGGTGGGAGAGGCCGTGAAGCGAATTGAAAACAGCACGGCGCAGCTTGGCAGGTACATACGGGCGGGCAGACGCAGTAGAGGTGTCACAGATGAGCGAGTGATCAGTCATGGGCAGAGCTATAGATTGCCAGCATAGCGAAGTGGATGGATCCTTACCAGGACTGGGCAAGTCTGGATCATCTTGTTGAGCGGCGGCAAAGGAAGCTGTGTCAATGGCAGTGATGGCAGAGACGGGCTCATCGGGTAGGTGGCATCGTGACAGTGCATCAGCGGCAGCATTCTGAGAACCCTTGACATGACGAATATCTGTCGTGAACTCAGCAATGTACGACAAATGGCGCTGTTGACGCGGGCTGTGGGTCTGTGAACGGCTGTGGATGGCATGTGTCAGAGGCTTGTGATCGGTGCACACATGGAAGACACGCCCTTCCAGGAAGTGTCGGAAATGCTTAATGGCTAGGTAAATAGCGAGGAGCTCTCGACAGAAGGTGCTGTAGCGTGTCTCAGCAGGCTTTAACTTGCGTGAAAAGAAGGCAACAGGATAACACTCACCATCTAGCTCTTGTTGGAGGACGGCACCAACAGCAATGTCTGAAGCGTCGACCATCAAGCTGTAGGCGGCATCCGGGCGAGGATGGTGAAGTGTGATGGCCTCAGTGAACGCAGCTTTGACATCATTGAAAGCAGCGATGGCCGAGTCGGACCAGACGAGCGCGCCTTTGGTGCGGTGGCGTTTCTCAAGCATAGCGTGCAGAGGTGCGAGCTTAGCAGCAAGATGTGGCTGAAATCGGTGATAGAACGTGACGAAGCCGATGAACTCACGGAGCTTACGAACACTAGCTGGCTGTGGGAATTCACGAATGGCGGTCATGCGAGCGTCGAGAGGTCGGATACCTGAGGCAGTCACGTGATGTCCCAGGAAGTCAAGCTCATCCTGGCCGAACTGCGACTTCCGGACGTTGATCAAGATGCCATGTGAAGCAAGGCGGGAGAATATGCAGCGAAGGTGGGCCATATGTTCAGCGGGTGAGGCGCTAGCAATGAGCAAGTCATCCAGATATGCAAAGCAGAAGGGAAGGTCTGAAACTACCTGGTCAATGAAGCGTTGGAATGTCTGGGCTGCGTTGCGAAGGCCAAAGGGCATGCGGACAAACTCAAACAGTCCAAAGGGGGTGGTGATGGCAGTTTTCGGGATGTCGTCAGGGTGCACAGGAATGTGGTGGTATGCACGGACGAGGTCAATCTTAGAGAATATGATCTTGTCATGCAGGTGGGACGTAAAGTCTTGAATATGCGGGATGGGATAGCGGTCGGGGATCGTGCAGTCATTCAAGGCTCGGTAATCACCACAGGGTCGCCAGTCACCGGATTTCTTTGGCACCATATGCAGAGGGGATGACCATGCACTAGAGGAGGGACGAATAATGCCTAAATCTAACATGTGTTGGAACTCACACTTAGCGACAGCAAGGCGGTCGGGTGCCAGACGGCGAGGCTTAGCGTGGACGGGGTGGCCATCTGTGACTATGCGGTGTGTCACATTGTGCTTGACAGGCGAGTCACCAGTGGTCGGTCGGACAAGGTCAGGAAACTCACTCAGCAGGGCAGAATACTCACTAGGGCTATCAGTGTCCAGCAGGTTGGTAGCGGAGGTGCTGACATCCGAGGCGGATCCGACAACGGCAAGTTGAGTAGTGGAGTCCCGGAGACATCTGGCGGCCAGGTCGACAGTGAGTTGGAAGTGGCCAAGGAAATCCGCACCCAGGATCGGATAGCTGACGTCAGCAACGACGAAGACCCATTTGAAAGTGCGTCGGAGACCTAAGTCTAAATCTAGCAGCTGCTGACCGTACGTGGCGATGCTGCTCTGATTCGCTGCACGGAGGCGAGGGCTATTGCGATGAACACGACGAGACAGAGTTACGAATGACGGAGGAAGAACACTGACGGCGGCGCCGGTGTCGACAAGGAACTCGACGGACTGGGAGCGATCCTTGACGAATAGTAGGCGACCGGTAGCGGTATTCGAGGGGCCAACCACACTAGCGGTCGCGACTAGTGGCTGGCCTTCCCGTTTCCCGACAGGAATCGGCAGGGGTCTCGGCATTTGTTCGCCTTCGCACCGAACGCACGGTGATACCAGCAAAGGTCGTCGTGATTGTCACGGCCGGGAGACCTGGAGGCACTTGGGTGGCGTGACGGTGGCCCGGGACTACGCTCTCGTTGGCGGCCACGCTGGGAAGGGGCACCGGTGTCACGGGTCATCACATTCACAGCGGACGTCAGCTTGGCGAGTTCAGCTCGGAGCTGGGCCATCTCAGCCCTGTCAGCGGTGCAGGCCTGTTCCGCATCTGTGGACGCTGTAGATCTACATGATAAGGCCGTATACGTACTAGACCGAGCAGGGCTAGGGGCTTCACTCAGAGCGTGAACACTTGTACCGGTGAGTGGGGTTGAGCACGTGCTTTCAACCACCTTGTCAGCAAGCGCTGCAAGTTTAGGGTTCACGGATTGGCATGCTAGCGTCGCCAGCTACATCATGCACGTGACAGGCGCGTGCATATACTGTCCCACACAATCGGTCAGTGCTCAAATCGCATTTTCCCATCAATATCACTCACTTTCAACTCTACGGGATTCATTACGGTTGGCTCAAACTGCCTGAATTTTTGAATCCACACGCACGAAAGACGTTCCATGGTCCAAGACTTCCACCGTTCGTATTTTTTCAAACGAGTTCCGGGTTTTCCAGTAACTTTGGCCAAAGTTCGGCTAAAAAAACAGGGGGAGCCGTTGCGTTTCCGTAAAATACTGAACGGTAGAAGGATAGCCAAGGTCGAGAGCAAAACAACAAGCCATTATTTGTCAAAATCGAACAAGAAACGGCTCAGCGCATCTATTTTCCGTGCACGCGCGCGCGTACTTTGGCCGACAAGGTGTGGAGAATTTCTGAAGAAGAAGAATAACAAGAGCAGCAGCGCTCGGAACAGCCGTGCTGGATACTTCCAATCCCGACGATGGAGCGTGTTGGCTGTCGTGAGCTGCTGAAACGACTATGACATTTCTTTTTCTTTGTATACCCTACATATCTTGACGTGCCCTAGCTCAGTTTCGGCCTCTTTACAGGAAGAATATTTTCTTCCATGGCATCAGCGGCCAAACAGCAAGAAGAGCAACAGATCGAGATTTGCAGGGCAAACAAAGGATGCGTGCAGCTACATCTAGTCAGGTTCGATGCAGCTGCGCTTTGCCAGAACCTCAGCAGATAAGAAAAGACGACAGAGTGTCTCAGATGGAACTAGATCTTTCGCCAAGACCGCCACCGCCGCCATCATCAAGTCCAGGTCAGTCAGAAAAATGCAAAGCCCGAGTGAAGTGAAGCCACTGAAGCCAAGGAAAAATTCAAAAAGTACGCTCTCCGGCTAGACTTCGAGTCGATATTTTTTTACTTCGATAGGCGCTGTCGCGGCCTGTAGCGCGCGTCCATAATCCAAAATGGAGGCGCACGTGACGGGTGCTTTTAGTGGCAAGCCGTGAACCCTAAAGTTCGTCCAGGCTGAGGCTTGCAGGTGTTGCAGCCAGAATCAGGCGGACCGTCACGGGCAAACGCTGTACAAATAGCTCGCGCAGGATAGTTGGGTCTAGCGACTTACTGCCTAAAAGCTGTTGCATGCGTCGGAGGACGCGACTTGGTCGGCTGTCCCCGATGTCGGCTGTTGAGAGTAGCTCACGCAACCGTGCCTGATCGGACTTTTGTGTGCGTGCGGTGAGCGCCTCTTTCAGGACTTGGTACGGCTCCTCGGCTGGCGGCGCTAGGAGCAAGTCCCGAATCTCAGCGGCGTATTCAGGAGCCAGCGAACTCACGACGACATTATACTTGGCCCGCGGGTTGGTGATGCGATGGTTGGCAAAATGCGCTTCTGCCTGTGCAAACCAAAGCTGCGGATCGCCGGGCCAGTACTGCGGCAGTCGGAAGGTGATGGCAGACACCGGACGGTCCGGTGCGTCGTGTTGGTCGTTGCGGGCGAGTGGTTGGTTTTGGGCCGGGGCGGAGGAGCTAGCGGCAGCTGAAGCTCCAGAGGCGGAAGCGGAAGAACCATCGTCGCTGGACATATTGCACTTTACTCACGTCGGGGGTCACCAATTTAGTAGTCTAGATACAGTGCAACGAGTGTTAGTTTCCAAGATCTTTACAAGACTGGCGAACACTAAATGTCATGAAGAAAGTGAAGAGAAAGGAGGTTTATATAGGAAAGAGATTGTGATAGAAGACTGTGCAATGAAGTTTGTTGTTTTGTTAGATATCTGACGTGTGCTGTTTGGAAGAAGTGTTTGGATGCAAACAGAACTTACAAGAGATGAGTAAAGACTACTTTTCTACAATAGCGTTGTAGGCGAGGAGTGCGTAACATCAAAAGATGTCGTAATGTGTATTGGAACTATGCTAGCCAAACATAACATAATTATTATGGTAGAGAAGTACGTGTAGTAGTAGGTATTACAATGTGTGCGAGAGTATGGTGAATCAGTGTTTGTGATGATGAGGAAAATATGACGTGTACATGCAAACAAATGATGATGTCATGATGCGAGAACGTCAGAGACGCTACACTGGGAATGAACACATTGTCATTAAAGGGGAAGTCCGGTGAAAAATTTAAATTTCACAGTCTGTAGAGTTCGAGTCGCTGAGTCGAATGGTCTTTGTCCGAGGAGGCTGCGGCTTATGGTTCGTCAGATACGCCCAATCGAACATGTGCGAATTTGAGCGCGCATCACCCAGATCCAGGTGATGACGTCACAGCGTGCAGCCAGGTAGCCACACCATCTAGTTGTGTACAAAAATGGCCATATTCGGAGCGCGTTCGATTGGGGAACTGTTTGTCGCAGCTTCTTCGGACCAAGACCATTCGATTCAGTGTTACAAACACTACATACCCTGTGATTTTCAGCTCGGTAAACCTCGAGGTTATACCGTATTTTAGCCGTTTCCGAGTTGGACTTTTTCCGTCAGCCTCTACGCGCTGTGCGCTGCGTGCATGCAGTGCGTGCAGTGGTGCTGTGGTACATGGTGCAGTCAACAAACTCATCACAGACGGAACTACTAAGTACTAGTACTCCCGCACTGCCGTGCTGGGGTCTATACAACAAGAGTCAAGACTCGAGTCACAACTGACACAAGACTCAGAAAACTAGTCAACACACGGACTTGTCATGTACTACACTCGTATCACTACTATCAGTCGTATTGTACAGTCATGTAGTCAGAGAACGTGCGTTTCTCCTTGCCGGTGCCGGTGATTGTGCTTTGAGAAAGAAAATTTTAGTTTTCCGCTCCCGCCTCATTATTTTATGCTACAGCGATGAGTGCACAACCGTGACAAGTGACAAAACAGGGAACAGCTCCCGGACCTAGAACTGTCAGATTCCATCAGCATAGCGTTGCGAGCGAAGAGTCGTGCCCGTGGTTCAAAGAGCCTGCACTGTTCTCCAAATGAGTAGTCCGAAATATTCCAAGTTCGCACCAAAACATCACCATGTGGCAGGCCACTGGAGTCTAAGCGAATCTAATCGGTATGGAACAACATTTAGAGCACTCGCATCACTCTTCTCCATTTTGGCGACCCTGCTCTCCAGCGATCTGATAATTCATCAGCCTCGTCTGCAATAGCTGCTGCTTCTTCATCAGCCGGAAACTCAGTAACGCTCACTCTTGACGGGCCCGCGCGGCCATTTCTTCAGCTGAATACCGAGGTTCTCAGCCCCAGACCGAACTCATGAAGGTCAGCCATGGCTGCATCCTCACTCTCACAAGGAGTTACAGGTCTTCGGGGTCGCTTGCACCACCTAATATGAGTCGCCAAATCATTTGAAATAGCACTGACACTATTGCTTTCACGCACTCCTTTTGACCTAGCTGCACGCTATGACGTTGCAGAGGGTGTGGCGCGGCCGCATGACGTCATGGCGCAGCCCCCGAAACTCAGTTTTTCAAACGGAAATATCTCGAGAACGCTTTGTCGGAGACACGTGGGACCAACACCATTCGACTCAGCGCCCGAAACTCTACCAACCCTGAAATTTAAATTTTTCACCGGACTTCCCTTAACTATCGATAATGATCAATATACTGCATCAAAAACAATGGCATTGCAGATTCGCAGCCTGTGTGGGATGCGGTTTAACCGCTCTGTTTACAGCGAATAACGTTACTTCCACGTGGATGCCTTGGTACAGTACCCATTTAACGTCCGATTCCAGAAAGAAAGAAAACTCACAGCTCCCGTCACTGTCAGCCTCAGTCTAAAATAATTCATGTCATTCACTGCGTGTATGGTTCCTCCTGCCTGTACAGTTGTAACATTCCAACAGGAGAGTGTCATGACATGAGACTCGTGTCACAGCAGCTCAGCTCAATTCAAACTGTCGATCTGAAGTATTTGAAAAACAGCCAAGCGACAAATGATTCACCCTTTTTTTGTCACATCTCTGGGCCTCTGGCACTGCGATTTCGCTCTCAGCAAAAATTAATGAATTGCACATACATGTACATGTACATGTACAGTACATGTATCATCAAACAAATTTATAATTCAGTATTAAAACTACTTCGAAGTTCAAAAATCAATTATTTAAATGCTAGTAAATCCGTGGGTGACGTACAGTGTACATGTCATGCAGAACAACAAGGACAGCCAAGGCTTAATAATTCATGCTCTCGCACTGTGTTGCCGGATAATTGCCAGAGCATGAAACTTGAAGCAGTTGCAAACAAGCCTTGGTTGGTCCTTGTTCTGCTCTGCCTCCGCGGTGTTGAGCACTGTCAGCACACTGTAGGCATATGCGGATAATGCCGGCAGAAAAATTGGCAGAATTCGGTACTTTTTCTGGTACATGTACATTTCATGCATGTTTGGTATGTGGATAAAGAAATGGAGCAGAATTCGAGGAATTGCCCGCCATGAGGTTTTCGAGCAGAATCTGCCACCTTTTCGAGCATTATCCGCACACACCTACAATGTAGCACACTGGGTACATCCTCCAGTGTACAATGTACTGTACATGTACATGTAAATGTAGCAAATGTAGCATTTTACTTTTCATGGTATCTCTATTTTTCACGTCTCCATGACTTTATCTTGCCCGTAAAGGAGGCCGTTACCCCCGAAAAAAAATGTAGCATTGAAAAGTACCCTCTGTCCTCTGTCCCTAGGCTCTCGGACTTTGTGGTGATAAATACAAAAATCCTAGCCCTCAGTATCTGTCACATGAACATCTGACATAACAGTAACACTGTTTTACTTCATCATGCATGTGTTTGTGCAAACACATGTCTAGCACTGATTGTGAGCTCTCATTCTCGACGACTCAAGTCGTCAAGATCTCCACTTGTCACTGACGCTGGCTGTCAAGTGTGACCTGTAAAAATGTAGTCGTTGCAGTGACGTCATGATGAATGAATGTGCGTTTCTTCACGTTCGAGACTGTTGAGTGTTGTCAGTCCCTATCCCTGACTCGGAGTGGACTCCCTATCGACATGTCAGTGGCATGCATTGTCAGGTGTGTTTTTGAATAGTTGGATTACACTGTAAGGTTCACCCCCTGACTCTTGCCATTACTACATGACATACTAGGGGTTCGCGCCAGGGTAGCAAAAGCTGAATCTGAAGCTGAGGTGGTGAGCCAACGAGGTCTCAGGTCAGCAGCACGAGAGAACAGGAAAACACGCCATGGCACAATAGGGGACTATTCAACCCTAACATGTCCATGTACATGACAATTGACATTGTATTTGCGCATGCCATTTTCATTTCGGCCAGTGTCACAGTGTGGAGTACTTCGTCTTGGAGGTGCGACATGGCGCAGCTACCATACACGTAGCGCTACAGGGGCACAAACCGCCTGCTGAAGCTGAAGTAACAAGAGGCAATTTCGCCAAAACAAGTACTGCCCTTACCGGAAACCGAACGACAAGCCGATGTACATCAACTGCCAGCTAAATCATCCACCTACAATCATCCAGAACCTACCTGCATCGATCAGCAGAAGACTAACAGATATTTCCAATGATGAAGACGTCTTCAGAGATGCGACTCCGATCTACAGTGACGCGCTGAGGAAGAGTGGATACCGGGAGAACGTACAATATTTTGACGAGCGTAAAACGGACGAGACAAAAAAGAAGAAGAAAAGGAATCGCCCCCGGAATATCATAATGGTTCAACCCACCATTTAGCAAGAACGTCGCCACCGACGTCGGACATCGCTTCCTTCAGCTAGTGGCCAAACACTTTCCCAAAGGCTCAAGCCTCAACAAAAACCTTCAACCGGAACTCTGTAAAGGTTAGCTACAGTTGCATGCAGAATATGGCCACTATCATCAAACAACACAATAACACGATTCTACGACCCAAGAAACAAGCTAACGGAGGTGACAACGACACCAGGAGGCAGGAGTTGTAACTGTCGGGCGAAAGACTCATGTCCACTGGACGAAGCGTGTCTAACGGAGAGCATCGTGTATAAGGCAAGAGTCACCGCAGGTATGGAGAAGAAGGAGTATACTGGATTAACAGCAACAACATTCAAACAACGCTACTATAACCACCAATCCTCATTCCGCCACAGACAACACGAGAAGGACACCCGCCTATCGCAGTACGTCTGGATCAAGAAGGATGAAGGGAAGGCATGCAGCATTCAATGGGCGGTACACCGCAGGTCCGCAGAGCAGCGGCCTACAGCAACAAAAGCAAAAGGTGCAGCCTGTGCCTGGCGGATAAATTGGCAATCGCGCAAGCACCCAAGCACCTCTCTCTCTCAACAAAAGGAGTGAGCTTGTGTCAAAGTGTCGCCACGAGAATAGGTACTACCTTCGGAACTTCAAACCATCCACAGGCATCACCTAATCAAGTTAGAGACAACCGGCTCCAGTGGTTGTCACCTTTCATCACTGCTGTCATTCACACTTTTACTTTTGGATTTGCCTCATGATGCAGTCATTCACGCTTTGCACTGCCGCCATTCACAACTTTTAGATTTGCGCCATGCTGCAGCTATTTACACTTTGCTTTTGTATAAAAACCAATACTGATCCAGACTTCTCATTACTG